AGTGGAGTGGGTCTGAAAGTGTTCATGACCGGAACACCGCCATTGGCTGTACGGAGCGAACAAGTGAACGACCATATTTGCCCCTTTAGTCATCCTGTATATTTACGCAGAAGCTCTGTATGTTTTGTCCTGACAATACAACAGTGTCCAGGGTTCACTGTCTTCTCCTTATCGTGCAGCCTGGCAGGTTCAGTTCAGGCGTGACCAATAGACGGGCCGCCCATGATACAACAATCATCGTTGAAATAATGAGGCGAACGCTGAAAGGTCTTCAGTGCCTTGGTAACCAAATCCCTGCTGGAGTATGCAGGCGACATCATCCTGATCTTTGAATTAACTCATCATCATCACATCATCTTTTGGCGTGTGCCCTGTACCCACAAAGTACAAAGTCATTCTGTAGGGTATACCGTCTCTGGATTTCACTTTTCAAATCAAGGAGGAGCACGAGATTTGTTTTTTTCTTACACTCAAATCACGCCACAGAGTCCTGACTAACTTGACAGTACAACCCACAGCCAGGCCCTTGATCCCAAGGCTCGCCTTGTTACCCTACACGTACAAATCACGACACACAAGGGTGACTCATCTGACGTCGACTTTCTGCCGTCTGATGAGTGTAGCAACAAGTCATACGCTGACACACACGCAAACGTTCCTACATATAGGACAACGGCACAACAACACAACACAACTCAACAGAGCTACGCACATCGCCCAACTCGGAGCAGAGCCGATCAGGACTTACGGCCCTTCACTCACCGATAGTCAGGCAATACGTGTGGCTGCCACAACAACGAAGACACAAAACCTGCATCCGGACTTGCAACTGGATTTAGAAACCTGTATCTGCAATACGATAAGTCTCTTGTTCGCATATGTACCTGTTGTGATGATCTTACTCAACAGGCTGACATTGTTAGTGCTCCCCGTTTTCTCATTCATATAACTAATTTTCGGGTTCTAGTAGAGCATTAACATATTAACCCTGACGACAGTGCGTCTGGTGAAGCCAGTAAAGGCTGTGTTGTTACCAGACATGGCCTGTGAAGACAGGCGATCTGACACGCCTGCAGGTTTCTGAGTGCCGATTTCTCAGTAGGGTTACTGGTATAGGATGGCGCTGATATATTCGTAAAAGGTCAGTTAGAGAACGGGTGTGCAGTAGGTAGATCGGTAGCGTGAAATGTCCAGCATTGCGGTGGCTCGGTCTTGTGCTACGCACGATGAATCGTCGTCTACGGAGGGTAATATTGTTCTCCGAACCTCCTTCAGAGTGACGCAAACTGCGAGGTGGAAAACGTATGGATTGGCAAGAGGGATGTGAAAGACAATCTGGAATGTTGTTGGTATGTTTCAATTTCGAACATGGGATCTCCGTGACTCTCCCTGTGCTTGTTTGGAGACATTACAATAAACGGCGTCTAACTGGTGTCAGCGGCGCTCGATTCCGATTGTGCGTTTGGAGGTGTATGTACCTCACTATGATTGGGGAAGCTCTCATCTCCACTCTTTTTCTCCTTAAATTTTCGTCATCATTGTTGGCAGCGATAAAGCAATACTATGTAGTGGCGTTTAAATTGAAGCTTTGAACCACCTTGTGGTTGTGTAGCAATGAATCACAAGTGTCAGCACAGGCTACTTTTGATGGTGTGACAGGACAAACTGAAAACGGATACCAGCCCACCAAGTGATGTTGGTAAGTTGTGTTCACACCCTTTGCGATGATTGTTGAGTACCTATTTTTCCTCGACCACTGTTCAAAAATCGAAGCGCTAAAACTACTTGGACTCCTGGCCCTCCCCGCTGGATCACTTTCAACAAACGTAGGGTGCAGAGCTGGATAGCAAACGAAAGATGATATATTGGCTAATCGGGGTCAGTGGCTGTCAGTTACTTTTCAAATTGCCTGATTGGGCGCTTGGAGGTGTAAGCAGAATGCTTGGGGTAGGCTGGCAACAGCTTCCTCGCTCATTCGTTCTTCTCTTTTCTTCCTTATAGGGCTTTCATATAATACGTGAATTTTGTGGTCATACGGCAATGAGGCGTCAGTATCGACAGTGATGCTGCTGTCTCGATGATGGCGCAGCGGGAGTCACAATGGAAATTATTTTTGTGAAGATCAATTTGTACAACCAAGTGGGGGTGCTGTGCGGCAAAAATACAAAGTACTGAATAACCCACGCATGAAAAATGGTTAGTTATTGATACAAAGTTTTATTCGCGCCGCGCTCGCCGCCTCCATAGCTCAGTGGCTAGAGCACTGGTCTCGTAAACCAGGGGTCGGGAGTTCGATCCTCCCTGGGGGCAGGGCGCTCTTTTCGGAGAGATGTTTCCATCTAATATTATCCGGCATTCGATGGCGGCAAGTCATATTTCCTCCACGTTCAATCATCAGGGTACCATCGCTCAACTCGAACAGCGAGTTTAAGGTTCAAGACACGCTAATCAGCTGCACTTTGACCTTGCTACTAGTTTCGTAGCCAGTAGTTAGATTTGCATAACGTCTTTAATCAGCCCCGTTCTCCCGCACACTCCATCACGCTTCAGTTCTGCCTGCGCTTGTTTGGACCGGCTGTCGCCAGAACGAGGGTGCAGCCAATTAGGAAGGAGCGGAAAATGGACCAATAGAATTCGGCGGATTCAGAGGGGCGCCTACTACTTATATCGATTGGAGTTCTTGATACCTTCATGAGATGTTTGATGGTACGGTTCTGCCAGTAAGTCTAGACTTGGGGAATACGTTTTGCTCGGTACAACGTGTCAACGCAGCTGTCGTTGGAGCGTGAATTCAAAGAAGCACACCCATAGTGCCCATGGATTTTGTTTACCGTTGTACCCAGTACAAGAAGCGTAGTTGTATTTGATGTGGGACTGTTCGAAATCACACCTTACCCTGGTGAAAATTGTTTAAATTATGACGACCATTCCAGTTAAATTGAGCTCAGTACGGTGTGGGGTTTGCGGGGATTGTGTCAGATATCTTTTGGAGGTGTGCGTCCAAACTCTCAGGAGACGGGTCAGAATAGTGGACTGTCTGGAGTCAGCAGATGGCGAAGTTCTCGTCTGGGACCCTTTGAAGTCGTGGGTTAAATCGCCCGGGGCTATATCAGCATAATATTCCCAAGCGAATTTCTTCTTACAAAAGTGGTCAAAAGGTGATGTTTCGAAATTTGACAGGAGCCCCTAAAGTTCATCGGACATCTTTAAGACGATCCTAATAAAACCTAAGGTTTCGTGTTCAGTTAGCACAAGCCATCAGCACAAACATCGTAAAAGCCAGTTAGTTAATACTGACACATCAGAAAACGAATACAACAGATGCGATACCAGTTCTCTCAGTTAACCAGACAAATCACTGTAATGTGTCATTAGTTTTTCTGTGGATCTCCTAGTGAACAGCGCTGCGCATCACAATCATTCACATGTTCATAAAAACAGTGTGAATCAATCTTGTCCTATTCGATTCCTACTTTTAATGGTACCTGTTTTTCGGTGCGCGTTCCAGTTCTGTCCTTGGACTAGTTGAACCAGAATCGGATGTGGATGTCTTTAGATTGAGAAGAACTCTTTAGATTGAGAGGAACTCGAAACGGTTGTTATTGATGGGGTGAATTCATAAAACACGTAGAAAAGTCCTACATGGGAACTCACTAAGGACTTGCATAGCCTGTTTGCTCTAATTTCATGAGTTTTGTAAAGAGCGCACCGGTGAAAATCCTCGTTTAGTCGCTAACACTATCGGAACTTGAGTGCTGTTCCGAAAAAGAGTATTTTGTGCGCGCACATGTTCTCTTTTCCAGATGTTTTCCGCTTTTTTCCACCGAATTCCCAACTATTGTGACCGTTCGTAATCAACAACCAGGACATTTGAAAAAAGCCTTGACAGGTAGTAATTTTGATTGCTCTGAAATGCAACTTGATCATTCAAATGTCTTCACTTGAAAACAACGATGAACGTTTCTGGGGTTCGATAGGCCAGCCAGCCTACGCAATGGGCAGTCAGCCAGTCCAGGTAGCCGTTTGGACGATCCGGGTTTGGGGCCCTAAATGATCACATTCAGACTCACTGTCGGTCTTCGCCTTGGTTCAGCACTGAAGACGAAACTAGCACCCCTAATACCTGTTCGAATGGGATAGTAATTTAACATCCAGATTTTTTGGGCCAAACGTACCACACATCAGTGATAATGAGTAAGTATTCTTGGACAGACAAAAACGCATCCATATGAGTTCACATTCAACTGTAGACCGCAAGTAGCTTCCCGTCGACCAGAGTGATACTCAGACGTTCGGTGAAGACTGAGTTCTAAGGGCGTTACTGGACATTATACGTAGACCAGATCCGGGCACTTTTGTTATGATCTGACCACTCAAATAAATTGGAATCACCGTTCGTCACCAACGCTTTGCTATTGGTTTTACTATTCTTCTTGTGGAGTCGGCTACTGTTGGGATTTCGATTATTTGCGAATGACTGGCACACGCGTTTAGGCGTTGGAGACATGATGACAATCACTATGTAACAGTAAAGTAACTGAACAAAAGACTGAAGTTGACGCCAACTCGGGGCATTCACAACAAGTACGTCCACAAGCATTGCCACGATCGCTCGATAAGATCATCGGCTCAGAGTTGCCCTTACAGGGCAACCGCACACACTCACCGACTGCCCGTTTAGAGGGCCCAGCATGATTAGCGATACACGCTATGATGCAGCTGTACCTCACCCGTGGAAAAAACCTGATGCATTCAACCTTGGGATGTTGGATTAGGTGCCTGGTGGCAAGAGGAAGCCGGTATAGCGCAGGCCGCAATGGAGGCAGAAGACCACGGAAACCGGAAGTCAAGGTCATCAGTCTGATGGTGATGTACCTAATTGTTTTTGACCCTATATTAAAAAAATGGGTGCAATGGGACAGTAGCAATTAGGTTCATTAATCTTATCGCAAGATCCTGCCCATCTGAACAAAATCATGAAGACGAAAACGGAAGAGTGACGGAAGGCGTCTGTATGTATAAAATAGCGATTCGGTTCAAAAATACATGGCAAAAAATTAGCGAAAATAAGTTTGAAACAAGTGCACTTGCGGTCGTGAGTGCGTGCGTAAAGATTGGTTAAACAGTTACTCTGAGCAGCAGTAGTGGCAGCAAAGGCAACAGCGTTATCCGTCAATGGTCTGTATCGTACTCCCTCCACTACGGCTCCATAGCGCAACTCAAGGCGAAGATTGAAGTCATATCGAAAAGGCCTGTGAATCTGGAGGCAGACTGAAAGTGATTGTGTAGATGGGAAGTGACCACAGGGACTTTTGATGCGATCGAGCCTTCACGGCAAGTGAGCAAATAATAAATGAGGAGAACTCGATCCGGTATGCTGATCAGAAAGGAAGGAGGCAGAAGGATGGGGTAGCATTGCGAAACAGTTCAACTGCTTGAAACACCAATTCACTTATCTCGATGGAAACGTGGGGAGTTTGGGTTCATAGAAGTGCCAGGAATGGAACGTCCAGAAGAAGCAAAGTTCGATGAGTTGTATGAAGAAGATATGGAATATCTGGAAGACACAGAAGGTTTTATTCTGCTAGGGTCCGTGCGCAACGACGGCTGTGACGATACCTGTCCCAATTCCTCCTGGAACTGCGCCCGAAGTAGCTGCAAACAAAGTGGCGGAAGGCACATAAGCTGATTCAAGCGTACGAAAGTATCAAGCAGGTGATGAAATCCTCTCATGTAAAGCATTTGAAAGAGAAGTTTTGAAGTAGGCTGCAGACCTAAGCCAAAGTACCGGTTCGATACGAATCTCTGCTGGTCAACCGAGATGAAGTACCCAGACGTTGCCCACAGCTGACTTGCGGAAGTGAATAACGATCAAACAAAGACTTTTCATAACACATTTCAGCTCCATGAAGAACTAAGCTTTACACAAAAATGACGCCGTAACCAATGGTATCCCCATGGAGGCGGGCTGAACGTTCGCGCGGGGATTCCGGCTGATATCCGGTTGTATATTCTAGGCGACTTCAAGGGCCCTTTGCCATAGTACGAGTAGGGTTAAATCATTAGTACAGGTCCAATACATGACCATTCCTATCAAGGTTATGAGACGTTTCCCGATGACACTCTTCCATCCAAGGTCATCCACACTACTACAAGGCAGCAAACCCACATAACATAAAACTAAGTCTTCAACAATATCAAGGTGACAGTGATAGTTCCCAATTCATCAAATAACGGTGGTGGCAATCAGGACGAGATCCACCGTTTACCTCGCCACTATACAAAGTAAGTGTTTTTCAATAATACAGGAGCATATACATTATACATAGAAATTCTACACTGTGAAGTGGCAAGTCTGAAAACGCCGTAGATTTCGAGAACACAGTCTCATTGTTCGAATAGCCATCGGAGCTGAACGATATTGAGCCGATGGGCTCAGAGTCATCCCAATCGGACGCACTACACTACCAACTGAGCTTATGCGATATCGGTGTATTCGGCACAACAGATTAACGGCCAGCTGGTAGCAACGACCTGTGACAACGAACATAGATTACCGGTTATGTTGGGACAAAATACACCAATATATGCAAGGTTGACGGCAAGCTAACAGTTACGTGAATAATCAGAAACATGTGACTACGAAGGACAAACCGGACGCCGAAGGCCTAGGAAAAATGTATGGCAGATATTCAGATATCATCGTTTTGGCTCAAGGCGGATGCACGTTAAATCGAAGCACAGCATTTGTACAGAGACTGAGATACACCCTCGCACACAAAATCTGAGTAGTGAAGGAGATTTGTGCCCTACCAAGTCCTAACACAACACCGTTACATTGCCTCTGTAACATTTACCACAGGAGTTAGCCCCAGGAAAGCAGGGGAGGAAAACTGAAGCAACAGTGGCGTGGCTCAGGCCTAACTATACACGAACGGAGCAAAATCTCGATCAAAACAATGTGAACAAAAAACTCACAGCTTGCGTATGCGTGAACGACTCAATGTAGCTCCGCAACTCATATTCGTGCTTCTCGTCCAGTTCACGCAGGCGCTCCGTCTCCAAATCCGTTAAATCATTGCGTTTGTCTGAATGCGACTGTTCCAGCTCCTTTAGTCGTACCACAATGCTGTACTCTAGCAGTTCCTGCTGTCGTTGAAGTTTCTGCTCAAACTCATATGTCTCATCTCCCAACTGTTTACGTGTGGCCTCTTCGAACTGATACACAGAGAACAGGAAGGTGAACCAATAAACGGCCCGCGAACAGACCAATAAAACAAGAAGAAAGGCAATCACCAGATATACCAGCTAACTTTTTGCTGGTACGATAGGTTTGGGAAGCACCAAGGACAGCAAATTGAAGATCACTTGATTAACTGGTTAGAGAGAACCGAAATACAGTCAATCAGTAGCTACTTAGCACAACATGAATGAATGAGAAACGTAATCCGATTAAACTAATTAGTGCGTTATTCCTCAACTATGGGCATAACTCCAACAGATAAAATAAGCGCCGGGTAGTTGAACACGTTAGATTCACCAAGAATTCCACCAACTGCGTGATTTGTTTTGTGTTTTTCAAGGGCTAGACGTGGCATCTTCCAAAAGGCTCAAACACATAAACGACCGTCTTCGAACACATCTGAGTTATGCCATCTGGCGCAGAACTGCCTTCCAATTGGCCAACTACATTCAGAGGTATCAGATAATGTTCAAAACCAACAAACATAATCCACAAAGCTACGCACTGACGACGCTTCCTCGGTTGAAGATGAATGGTTTGCTTGTCAACTGTCAAGCACGGTGGACAATGCAACAATAAAAAAAAACGCACCCGAGAATCGCAGATTCGTAACGCCATCCAAAGGCTATTATTCTAGGTGTTCAAGAACTACTACACAAGTCATGTGTTTTACGAGAACAGTTAGGCAAAATAGTTTCCAGGAGTCTGAAACAATACTGGAAGAAATATACAAAAGAGAATAGACCCAAGGATTATCGGTTGTAGATAGTGTATTTAATCAGACAATCACTTGAGTGCGTAGCCTCGCGTCGGAGCAACTTACTGACAAACGCTTAGTCGATCACGAAATGATGAAGCAGCAAGGATACAGGTGTCGGTCGAAATAGCTTGTTAAAAATATTGCTTCTGCCTGGTCAGCAAGAATATTGGCTTGCAGAAGGGCGAGAAACTCACGATTAGGATCCAAATGATCTCAGAGTGACTGAAGGGTAACCTTTATTCGAGATGAATGAACACTAGGTATTGACTGAGGGGGGCATGATTTGGGGCTCGACAGGGAGCGGTTCCTCTTCGGGTAGAGAGGGGTCACTTTTTGTATGCTGTATGATTGAAAACATTCCGCAAAAATAACTTAGCCGAAAAAATGAATTAGTATAGAAGGAGAATATACACTATGAGAGGTAGCATTCACCCAGCTGAGTTGAACAAAACGTAACAAAGGTGAAGTAACCTAATGGGCAACTAGGGATAACTTTGAGAACGAAAATGGTGAAATCATAAAAATTACCAGTGTGATTAGAACTGACTGTGGTGACATCAGTAGCAAGCGGAAGGAAAACATTGTCTCCACAAATAGGTAAACTAAAGGTTGTCAGAAAAAATCGGAGTCAGTTTAGAGTGAGTTATGGTGTAAATTACCGGACTAAAAGATGAGCGTTTACACATGTCACCAACGTGGTTTGAAGGCTGAATGGATGAGTATACAGACTTGGGACGATGTTTGTCCTACGGAAGCAAGAGCAGGGAAAGCGAAACGTGAGTGTGTGCAAAGGAAAACACAATGACTCGTAATGGATGACGCTTACCTCGCGTAGACGTTCTTTCAATCGACTGGCTGTAAGCGAGGGATCCATACGACAATGACGGTGAAAGTCCGTCATATTCTTCTTCTGCATGTTCTTCACATATTTTGCATGGTTTTTACGCTCAATCGAATGAATGGTGTTCAACTTTTCGCGTTCACGAGTGATCGTCTGGAAAGGGAATAAACAGGGGCGGGAAAAATCAACTGAAGAAATAGTGAGATTTAAAAACGACGGGAAGAGTAAACCAGTTTGAAAGATCAGAAAACGAGTAACTCTGATAAATAACCAAGGTATGCACACCACAGTGTTTTGAGGTGACGATTACAGTGCACATCGAAGCCCCGCTTCATCTCAATAAATCGAGCCAACTGTGCCACAGTCAACAAAACAAAATCAAGAGAACCAGGTGAGTCTTTCGTTGCAAACAGTCGATCTCCAGATTACCGAACAATACTGCATGAAGTTTTTGGCTTTGATCACTACTCAGAAACCGATCTACGGTACAGACAATGTTTATTTCATCGGTTTAATAGTAACACTGCTTCTGACACAACACGTACAGCTGCTGACAACACTTCGATAGGCCACTACATGTTTTGCTCTTCTTGAGGCTCATCGGATAGGAAAGTCCCCGACTTTTCCGCTTTGTCTGAACCATCCTACTTCCTGACATCACTCGGAATGCCTCTGAATTAATACCCTAATTATCCATATCTAGTACACTATTCCTGGGGTCAATCACGTTAGGAATTTCGGAATAAAGCTGTTCGGGTTATGCTGCACAAAGTAGACTAAAAACTCCGCACAACATTCGATTCCCTTTCGCAAAGCTTTCCTCCTACCACATTTGTTAGTTGTGAACCTGCCACACATCAGCTCATCAGCAACAGCCGAACACCACTGCCTTTCGGTTAGTCTTTTGAGCCAAAGGCTTTGGCTGAGGACCCTAATCGTCCTCCTGTCTAGGTGTGGGAGCCCTGGCAGTATCCCAGTCCTCGTACAACAATGACATACAAAACTAACGATGAGAACGGCCACAACAAATCTCAGTGAGGCCAGTATGTACAACCAATAAACCAATAAACAAACCAAATAAACCAATAAACGGAGGTGGGTGGGGACTAATGGTCTCGATAATGAACCACGAGCAACCATACTTGTGAACAAAAATTGTCATGTAGAAGTGGATTGTACAAGAAAAAAACAGAGGGAAGACCCACTTGTCTCAGCTCGTACAGCTCCAGTTCGAGTAGGCCTGCTAACTTCTGACGCTTAATGCTGAAGAAATCCTGCAATTTGCTTCTGGACAATTGGTGCCGCATATGCATGTGACGTTGTTCCATTTTCCACTTCTCCTGTTCAAAATCTAGATGGATAGGTGGAGATGGATACAAATTAGCTTATCAGTAATAGACGGTACGAACCAACGAGAAAAGATTATTACACCAAACGTTTCCTTAAAGAGCACGTAGGAAAGTAACAAAAAACGCAATCTTGAGATTTCGTGCTCAGCTTCATGTATCGTAAAACAGCGGATCGATATCACCCACATGACTAGTGATACACAAAGCTTACAACCTTTAATACAATCCAGTGCATTCATTCGCTATGTCACTCTTGGTAGACAAAAGAAATGAATTAAACCATATTGCTCAGTTGTTGCAGCCCTCCAGCACTTGGTTACCCCTAAACCCCAAAGTACGGTTGCTGAAATGCCATCAAATTCTAAACAGTAGTCAAGAGACTAGGAGGGGATGGGAAACAAGAATGCTTTGCATTAGCTACTGACTTATCTGCAGCCAAAGCATGCGGAACGTCAGTAAGGATGTCACGTTAGTTCACACAGTTTGGTTCCCTGTCTGACCTACGTGGTTTCACCAAAAACTAACGGATGTACATGTGCCTATGGTAGCCTTCATGAAAAAAAAACAGGAGGTAGGTTCTTCATGGGAATGTCCGTCAAAGAGACATTAAGATCACTTCCAACAGCAGCCGTTCGACTATGAACAAAGAGCGATCACCCACGAGAAGAGGTACAGTTTGGACCACATAAGTCTGTAAACAGAACCATACGACGCCTAGTTGCGACAGCGGTACGCGAATGTCGCGAAGTATTGATAACTACTGAGATCCAAGAAGGTCAAATGCTGATGACAACCTGAATAGACTGTGTAGGATAGACAATTATAGACGATCGCTCCGTCGTATTGTTCAGTCATCACTGACGGTCGATAGGAGGAACAACTTTAAAGTTATCGGTGTTGTGGAGTGAGTTCAGCCATTCCAATTTTCTCGGTCCTCCTAATAATAAGGTTGCAGATGGTACAGGGCTGCCTTGGAGTGGTCCAGTAAGAGCTGACTTGAGATTATTGCTTTTGAGTGACTATCCATAACTTCGTCCCGCAGAATCCGAATCCCGTCCATAGGGGGTCAGCTGACACGTGTGCAATCGTACTGTTCAAATTTCGGTGATCGGTGTAGGTATGACCGCTCGCATCACAGAAGTTCGTCTCTGGGACAGTTTAGGGCTATATAAGCATAAGCTTTATCAATAAATACCTCACGAAGTGGAGTGAATTAGTAACTAGGTCTTACGTTAACAAATCCGGTATGTATCTCACCGAAAATAATCACTACTTTAGACAGGCTGTTATGATAGGGACACATGCAAACTTTGCCAAATTTTAGGATACTGAGAGGACTGCTTAGAAAGAATCCGAAGTACCTCAACCCTTAGTAAAAAATCTGCTCCGAATGTCTCCCAAGGGAAGCGCACATCTACGTGTTACTCTGTTACTCCGTTGCCTTAATGCGATGGCGACGAGAATTGATAGCAAATGTCAGTGTTATTGCCATTGAATTATCAGAACATTTTTCATTTCGATAGCACCCAATGTCCGCTTCTCAGATGGTATTGTCCTAGCAAATATCTTGCTGTCACACAACTAGGAGGAAGAGCTTAGATTCTCATCACACACAAAGCTTACGGCTAAGGTTTTAAAGCGAGTGTTTTCGACTAGGGTACCACAAAACAGTGAACTGGTCCATTAAATTGCAAAGATAGCCATCCAACGGAGACAGAGCATATAACTAAGCTAAGCCAGTGGAAGCCGACTAAGCTTAAGATGTATGAGGTGCTCTCATTTGTTGTTGATTTTGGTGAGCGGCTGTTTTGATTGTATAAAAGATTTTACAACCGTCTGAAGAGCGGATCAATTTGAGTGTTTCAACACTATTCGAGTTGATATCATCAATGTGCACCGATGTCTTCTGGTACCATGGTTGGTCACGACACAGGACACTAAGGGCGCCTACATGCATGTATAAGGCGTTCACAAGGGATTTATAGGTTTAGGCGTGCAGACACTCATAAGCCAGTATAGTGAAAGCTCGTTTAGCGATTTCCTTGGCAGGTGGCACCAAGGGGAAACGGGATAATTTAGACCTAGCTACACTATATATACAAATGTTAACCGGGAATCCTATCGTCACCACTTCAGCTTGACTTCATAAGCAAGCTGGAGAAGACAACATTGAGGGAGAATTTCTCTTCGCAATGCACAAATGTTAACCGGGAATCCTATCGTCACTACTTCAGCTTGACTTCATAAGCAAGTTGGAGAAGACAACATTGAGAGAGAATTTCTCTTCGCAATACTACGTTCCTACCGAAGGGTGCACAATCTCCAGAAGGTCCACGTGACGATCCCTCTCCGAAGGGACTACTTTGTGGGAGAATGAATGTAATCTATGGTTGCACTATTATAAAAATAAGTCGCATACGATTACCCAGACAGACGGGGTAAGAGGCTTACTCATCCTGATCGTGTGCTTCTCCACCAGTTCTTCCTCGCGCAGATGATACAACCGTTCTTGGAACACTAGGGTCAGCTGTTTCATATGACTTGAGAAGCGGACACCCTGTTGCTCACGGAAACTCAGTAGCTGCTGGCTAATCACAGATTTCTGAGAGGAGTTGGAATGGAGTGAATTTAGGGAAGTAAGTGAGGCAGACAGGTTCAGTGAACCCCCAGGGAACAACGAAGTATCCGAGTTTAGTTCACGCATCGCCATCTTCCGTTCCGCACGACTGCACTTGTCCAACTCTTTCCGCAGTTGTTCTTTAAAAGTTTGTCCCTCTTTGACCTAAAATAGAGTACAAGGAAAGAAGTTGGTTGACTAATTACTCAAAGTCTAGTGATAGCCGAGAACGGCAGAGGTTCTTATGCACAGCATCACACGGAGATTAGGAAAATTCGAATGTTCCAGTAGGGGTGGAACAACAGAAAGGAAGAACATAGAAGAGACCTACCGTAGTTGAGCGAATGCGTTTGCTGTCGGTCTCGTACTCCTTCTCCAGCCGTTCAAGCTGAGCTCGGTAATTTCTGGAAACCAATTCCAGTTTTTGTTCGTAACCACGTTTGAGTGCCTGTAGGGAGCAGAACCACGAACATATAAAGTTTAATCTTGATGGGGGAAACAACCAAAGTCACATTGAAACTTCAGGCAAAAACATCGGCCGATGAAAGAGACACGTTTACGAGTAGTAATAATAGTGTTGTCCTGTTTGCTAACACTGGTACGGGTCAACGGCCAATATGTAAGACAATAGTTTAAACCACAAGGAGATATGCTCTGATCGTAGAAAAATGTTGGACATTAGGGAGCTAAAAAAGTGAAATGCTTGATATACCTGTAAAATACCCTTGGTGAAGAGGCATCCAACCATGCTATGTTTGTTGCGGCGAAGGTGCATTTTTCCGTCTCGAAACCCTTGGGATTCAGACGAGCAACAAACAAAACTAGTCAGTTGAAAAAGATATTTCCTATATAAGAGACTGACCAAGAACTCGGTAGCCAATTTAGCCTCCAACTGTTCCTTCTGTTGTACTGCTTTCGCAGTTAATTCTCTTGTTTGACGAGCTTCTTGTTTGCCCAACATTCGGAAAGCACGCAGTTCCGCTTTGCGACTGTTCCTGAAAAAAAAAACGAAAATGCGAAAATATAGTCCAGTACGGATATGTGGTAGAATTCTAGTAATAGTAAATTATCGGCCTGAACCTGATCGGTGCCCTGGAGGTTGCTCCAGTCAAGGCTGCCGGCGGAATTCAAGGCGCTTCTTCACTACTAATTTATGATCAGTAAGCTATTTGGACCCACTAATTCATTCGGAAGTGGCTGTAGTTCGCATGCAGACTGCAATCCGAACAACCAATGCCGAGAGCCAGAGTCCTCAGCGGAGCATGCTGGATTGTCCTGCGTCAGAGCTTTCGAACGGACAGGCATATCGGAATAAAGTAAAGCAGCAGTTAACACACTACACTGCCGATGTGAGCAGCTCAGTTCAATTAACCTCTACGTGTGTTCTACTCTCAAGAGGTCTGCGTTCGATAAATTTAAACGGTAAAGAGTGACCCGAAATGAGGATGAACAAACCATAAATACAAGCGTATAGGACCTTATCTAAATCGGTGTTCGACTGGAGAAGAAGGGTAAACGTCTAAGCACAGATGTATAGAAGACTGTACAATGTGCCATTCGTGGTTGCTATTTGTAAGGCTTGGATTGCACAGCCTTAATTTGAATGATACAATATTTTCTAAAGTTAACAATGACACACACAGTCAAACGTATGTGGTGCCCCTCAGTTGACAGATGTCGTCAGTCGGACTGTGTGAGGGACAAGTGGGCAGAGAGGCAGACAAAACGGGTGAAAAATAAGCGGAAAAGCACAGAGAGACGCATGAAAGAAGAACTCACAGATCTTCTTCACGTTGCTTAAGTACTTCCGCACTGGCTGGAATAATATGCTTCGTAGTAGTTGTGATCACTTTTCCGTCAACTACAAATCGGCGAGTACGCGTCAGGGACTTGTGAGCGCTGGCACGACGGGACAACTGGAAGGAGAGTGAGAGCATCGGGGAGATGGATAGGTGCTCGAGTGTTGTGCATGGGATTCAGTACAAAACAACGGCAAACGAAAAACGACCGCAATATTAATTATACGCGCCAGTATAGCAAGATACGGACTGTATCTATCCGAAAGGTTCGGACTGAAACATGAATTATTCAATTTTAAATGGAACACGGAATGGATTGCGCGATCAGTGTGGAAGGGGCAGTACCCAGCAGGTGGTACACATTCAATATAACCTTCAGATTCCATATTCTGCTTCCAATGACATGCACTTCTCAAGTCGTCAGAATACCATGGAAATTTTTGTAATGTACTACTCATAAGGTTGCTGGAAATCCGTCACAACCCATGTTTGGGGCTCATCAGGTAGGCATCAGGTAGGCGCAGTCCCCGGGTTTCCGTCAACCTTATGTTCTACTTGAAACCAAATTGCACGAAAGTAGCAAATATACACTCATTTGCAAACTAATTTGGTTTTTTGAGAGACTCACCTGGAACTCAGCTGAATCTCTCGTTTGTGATGTTCTCAGGCAACTGAATGTGCTGCACCAGGCCGCCTCAAACCAAATTAGTTTGCAAATGAATGTATATTCGCTAACCATGGAAATTCTTTCTCACACTGAGTTTTTACTGGTTGCCCGATTGCGTACTGTTTAGCAATCGGATTACACTGACTGATTGATTACTTCCTGAGTAGTTGGTGGTAGGGCGGGAAGGATGAATTTGGGAAACTCATGTGATCGAACTACAGTGGCTATCACATATCCGTCTACTCTACCGGGATTTATAGGTTTTCTTGTTGCCCTAATGTCCGGTGAAATTCGCGAATTACCATAGTTCATCCATATGCTCTAGTAAAGGGTTACGACTGGGCACAATAGAAATATCTGGTCCGCGTTGACCCGTGAAGAGGTGTGCAGTGGGTCGACAGCATCAATCTTCCCCAATTTTTGTGTGAAAAGTTTCCGTCGGTAATCTGGTGCCCCAAATTTCCAGTCCCTATTCAATGTCTCCAGTTACTTATTCTGATGTTTTCTGGCGGAGAGACTGTTGTGTTTAAGAGTGGACCACATAATCAGTTATAATCTTTACCACCGCAGTGCGATTATTCTTCACCATATATTATCATGGTTGCACATTGTCTGTTGGATGCGTGATCCAGTGACTCACTGGGGCGAGCACCGGGTTGAACGCGGTCGCGGACCATGAATAAGGTGGCACAGTAAAACCTTCGCTAATCGCGGTGGACAATTATGCTATAAGTATATATATAAAGAATACATAAGAATATGCTATATGAACCACCCTTCAATGAACTTGTTTTTTACTATACTACAGGTAGTTTTGTTTACATCACACATGTATAACCATAAGAGCATGCGAAACAATCGCTAGCGCTGGCAGAGATATTGTCATCAAGTGTGGACAGTCTCTTACAAACGTGCAACGCACTTCGACGAGGGATGGCTGATAAATGGATCAGTGTACCATCCATGTCATACGCAATGCATCTGATTACCGGTGTTTGAGGTACGCCGCACTTGCGGAGAATCAGTTAACACTTAGGCGGTGTCGAAAATTGCTACCTTTGTGGTGTTTCGGTTCTGTGCAGTGGGGTCGAATGGTTAGGTGTTCAAAGTATTAATCGGGAGGTCACGGGCTTGACATGTGACACGCACATAGCTGATGACTCCCAATAAGGGTGAAACAACTGTACAGTGTTTCTAGGCCTTCTAACGTAGCTTGGCTTCATTTACAGGATGAAATGTCAATTGAAAAATTACCAAACCTTCTCACATTACCAAAAAATTGAGCCCCGTTGGAAGCCCCATTCAACGTTTGTCCCACGGCTCATGTCTGAGACAGTCTTCGCCAAAATCTGCCGTTTTTCCCTGAATAACAGCTCAAGACAAGATAATCATCGATCTTGCTTTGGTTGGTCGGCATTAGTCGAACGACCATGCGGATCTGCGTGGGTGTGTGCATCATCAATGTAGTGCAACACTAAGCACTGTGAGTTTGTTAGCACAATCAAAATTACGCATTCACATTTACTTTCTCATCGATGAGTACATTTTTTGAATTTCTGGAATTGTATTGATTACAATAGTCAATCGTATAAGGTTACTTCCAAATGACAAACCAGTCTCCCAGGGGACAGAAATGTCGTTGTGGGCTTGCTCAGAACATGGGAGGATTTAGTGCACCTTACACCCAGTCGCAGACGGTGGACCTACACACCAAACATACCACTGAATGGAACACAAAATTCCACACAAGTATATAAGGACGAAGGCAAATGGCTCAAACGAATTTCCCCATCTTGGGTCGAGCTGACCCGAAGCATCACGAAAGGTGAACTTCTTTGTAGAAGCAACCTAGATAACTCAAGTCGCTTGATATTTGCTTTGTGGATGGAGCCACACCGACCACTATCGACTGAGGTTGCACAATAGTAATACCACTGGGGGAGACATAGGACGTCCCCCAACAACAGTACAACGGTTAGAGCTGAGATATGTGAGCCTAACTGACGCGCTGTCACAAAAATCATCGACAGACCAGATAGCTACCAAAACACCCACTGACGGATAACAGAACCTCGAAATTGTAACACAGAATAGCACGAAAGAACACCAAAGGTGAATGAACTTGAAGCGCGATGCCACTGACAAAAGACTATAGTACAGGGACAGTAGCAGTAAAGGCAGAGTAGGGGCTTTCATTTTTACACCTAACGAGAACCTCCCCTGAGCTTGCGGTGAATCGCATTTCGTTCGATTCGACGCACCACTCATTCCCAGGGTGAACAGAAGTTAGGCAGCTATGTTGGGAGATCGTGGAGGCCAGCCAACACGTCTCTGTCAACCAACACCGGTTCAAAATTTCGGACGACTAGCTTTATTTTGGACAGAATCAATGTTAGTTAGTGCCAGTCGACGAAGAAAGTTAAATCAACGACAAATATATCTGGCTTGAACTGAACATGACAACCGACGGCACATTTTGCTCCTTTAGAGCTAGGAGGCTGGATGACTAAGCCTGAGTGAAACTAAACAAGTGACTCATACGGCATTGAGTGGATAACTGAGAAGAGACGTTGAGCTTGATTGCATCTCATACTGAATAACACCTATTAACCGCCTAAACATCGTGGTTTGGAGACTTAATGGTGGATAATGTGGTGCTGGTAAGAGTGGATAGTGAGGATGAAACTTTTGAATAGAACCACAATGCCACCTATAGAGTTACAGTTTTACAGATTCGAACCCATCACGAAGCTGCTCGATCCTAAGTTACTGTCAGGTTACTATCCGATTGTAGAGAAATTACCACACCAAGAGGCGCTAACCCTCAACCAAGGAACTGTAGCGCTCCTTCAAAGGCGGGACGTGGTAAGCTACTGCCTTAAGAGGCATGTTACAACCAGCCTCGGGTCCAAAGCACATTTACAAGTGTTGTCGAACCGTGAGTCGTACACTTGATCACAACAATACGCGGAGGACCGCGCACGAGGGGGTTGCGTCAGCCAGAGGAAGCCGACCCGTTTGATGAATTAGTAGTGTGGCAGTCAATGAATGATAGCATAAGCAGATTCGACAGATGGCACCTTTAATAGTCTGCTGTTTAGACTACGCCAGCAGATTGATGTACATAACCCGATGTGTCTAAATGTACACCGAGAATCTGATTCGTGGTGTCCTGAGAATCACGGGCGCGATCTACGGGCCAATTCGTGTGGCTAAAAAGAACGGAAATTACACACTCATAGCCACTGTTGGCGTTAACGGAACTCGCTTAGAATATGTCTACAAAACTTTCAAAATTAAGTCGTGTAACTGCGCAAACCTCTTAGCGCGTGACTGCCACGCAACTCACAGGAAGGAACAAGGATGAGTCATGAGCTTCTGCATACAGACAGAAAGAAGCAGGACTTCAGGGGGTGATTCAAACTAGGATTTTCGGAAAAAAGCCTCGCGATATTTCTGTATCCAAATTCAAAACAAAGGAACACTACTCAAACAGTGGAAACCAACTTTGGGCACGGAGGCCGGTGGTTTGGGAGCTATGGGCTGTGATGGTAAGCGATCTTCTTCCGGAATAGTCTGTCCAACATCTACCTCCTCGCTGATATCCCGCATGACTTCGAACAAACAAGATGGCACAGAAGGATGGCGGGTTTCTGAAGTGATTACTTCGTCGATCAGCTGATCGGTCAAATCCTGCGCGAGGTCTTGTAAGAGGGACTACAAATTTTAAAAAAATACGATGGAAGATATGACCACATCTTGCTGGTACGCACACGCATGCTACACATCAAGGGTGTGCACATAAGCTTCACAAGGTGGGTAATTGTCATGAAGAATCAAAATACACGTCACGTGACTATCGGATTGGGGGTGATGGTCAGTGACAGGATTTGAGCACTAGCAAGACTCGAGCAAACGAAACCGAGTTACAGGCAATCACACAAAAGAAGAAAGCAAAGACGATGGAAACCAATGCCACAAATATGAAACCAAAGCTGCCGACTAGTCATATACAGCCAACGTTCACGATGTGGTAGTGTTTGTGCTGGGTAATCAATAAGTATCCGAGGAACTGCAAACTGTGCAATTAAAAACTGAGAGCCGAAATCCACGTCAGACTGAGAAACGTGTCAGTTCTTCTCATGGCGAGGAAATAACTGGTATGCTTCGGTAGCTCGAAAGTACATCATTATAATAGAATGCAGTGCGAAGTCACGCACTTCAAAACAAAAGGCAAAACTGTGTGGTTGGAGTGAGTGCGACTTGAGAAGTATCCTAAAAAATTAGTCAACTTTGGGTTGCTTTCGCAAAGAATAGCAAAGCAGTCATTTGCAAGCAAATATGGTTTTAACATATGATTCGGATCAATTTGAGCCAAATCCTTTGTTTATGGCATTCCTCGACTGAATCCGTTGCGTCATGTTATATTTGGACGGTATTCGAGATATCGCAGTACATTATCTCGACGGAACACTACTCATAAGGCTGTCGAAAACCCTTCGGTAGCCTACAAAAAATGGTACAAACGAGATATTCAGCTCGGATCCAGTTGGGTCTTCCCTTAAAAGCAAATCAATTTGTAAATGTGTGTATTTCGCCAATTGCGTACAATTTGGGTCCAATTACAACGGATACTCGAAGGCCTACCCGAAAGGCCGTAAGAAGGGCGAAAAAGCTAGTGGGCTCTAGATGAGCTTTCAGTAACCTTATGAGTAGTGTTCAGCTTGGTAGAAATAGTCGAGAATCGACTTACAGTAGGAAAAGAGCTTGGCACAGATTACCAATGTCAAGGGTCTAGGGGAGATCCGCCACATCCTGACGATGGTGACAACAGTGAAATGCCTGCCAGGCGACGGTCAGAAGGTCAAGGCGAGTCACGATGTGAGGCGACGGTCAGAAGGTCAAGGCGAGTCAAGGTGTCCAAGCGGACACGATGTATCGTCCCGTTTATATGGAAAGTGAGCATAAACTTATGTAGTGACAGATTAAACGATTCTAGGTACCACGCTAGTGTTAATCAGGGTAGTGAAGTATCTTGTCCACCCTGAAATTCACGCAGTTCACGCTATGACGCAAGCTTTTTATTCAGCCTGCGTGAGTTCAAATAACAGCTAATGAAGCGTTCCGCAACGAGGCTGCCAAACCATAAAGGGAACCCAGGTAGTGCATTCAGTTCCATAGGTGAAGTATGGCAAGGTGTGGGGAAGATAGACAGCGCTTCTAAGTGACAACCAAATGAAGCCAAATCTCTGCGGCAGCTAAGCAAGTAGGTTCTTCATCTTCGTGCACCGTCTCCAAGATAAACCACCACAATGCACGATCAGGACCACAAGGAAACATAAACCGGGAACGGACCAACTGCAAACAGACCCGAAGCACCCCAAAACAGCCATCCAACAAACCAATGGAATAAGAGACATACAGATCACAACGCAGCAAAACAAAAGCACGGTCGGTCCTACCATGGTGCGACAGAAGGCATATACCATCTAGCCAATCACATAACAGGATATTAGATACTCTACAAAAAACTACATAAACGCAGCTAGGCACGGAGGAAGCACCCATTCACCTGCGCATTGACGATGTCTCCTCGACTGGCGACGAAACGTTTGCAAGCTAATTACCAAGCTCGGCGAACAGATCACCTGCCATCCGATCAACCACCAATGCACGAATTGAAAAGCTGATTTGCCACATGGGGTATTCGGTGCAGGATTCCGGTTCAGGTTCAAAAACAAGGAACAACTTGCCATGGAGAAAGGGGAATGAGCCTTTCTGAGGCATACTGAATCCACTATTCTCATGAATTGTGGTGTGACCATAAGGTGAATAAATACCAACAGATGTGCGGCTGAGCATGGCCCTAGGATCAGACAAGAGCACCACCTACAGGTCCAAGACAAACAAGAGACTAGATTTGTTCTTATAACTGTTATAGGAGGTCTATGAGCAGCTCTATCCTCCGCCGTTGTACATCAACCATTGCGACAGTATCACTTCACACAACCCTGATAAAATCGGATTACATTCAAGCGCATGGTTCAAAGGATTTCAGCTTTCCTGGAGAGCTTAAGGGCTTATGACACGATTCGCTAAAACTGGGATATACACACCAACATAGTGTGCGAGTGATTAGTAGTACGGTCAGTTGGGTAGTTGGTGCGAACCCGTGAGTGGAAGCCAGTGCATGACGCATATATCGCGGGGCTGTGATGGCATAACGAGGCCTACATGTGCATATTGAGCTAAGTGTGCGTACAAAGCTATAGAAATCACCATTCTACGCTTTTCACTTTAATTTGTCCCTAGGTGACTTCAAGCGATCCCCGGGCTGCATTCAAAATATCCTGAGATATATTTTAATACCTTCCAAAAGAATGAAAGTCAATCAACCTCAACTTATTTTCGGGTTTTCCTCGAGGACCGAGGGTATCTTGGGAGAAATCAAGGTGAAAGAGGTGTAATTTGATTCAACGAATGCCAGTGTCTGATTCCGCAGGTGCGTGCAGATGGTGGATAGCGTATTACTGATACAATAAGGAAATCCCTACATAACCAACCCTAAATGACAGGTCGGAACTCAAATTGACTCTTGTGACTTGTGCATTCTCTGAAACTGGCTTGTAAGAGTAGGCTTTTCTTCTGATTGACGGTGGATAATACAGGAGTGTCAGTTCCGTACGGTACTCATGGGCCGGTTCAGGATCCAACACAGGAGACGGTGTTTGTGAACCCAGGTGACTGGACTGTTGGCTTTTAATGTGAATTACAGTCGGTGGAAGGCTGAAACTACTCGAATGTGCAACGGATCTTGTCGGCGTGAAAGCTTTTCCGGCATTATTCAATTTGTTCCGAGATGATGTAGCCAAAAAGGCAAACAGAGAACCTGACCGAAATGGAGATGGCCCACCGAGAACAGTTGCTCGACGTTTCAACGACGGGTGCTGTGGCGGTTTCTCTGGCAGTCTGACGGAAGTGGAACGGACCACTTGTAGGCGATAGGTTGAATTATGCTCAAAAGGTTCACTTCGCTTAGAATCTAGTACTAAGACAGGGAAAGATGCAATTTCTACCACACTGTTCTGGGTAACAGAATCCAAAGGTTGTGGCTGGTGAAAAAAAGAGTGAGGAGGGAAAAATAACGATGTGAAATAATAAAAAGCAGCTCGTTACCACAAAACAACAAAAACACCTGTAATGAGACACAGGCAAGTGCAATACATTAAAACTCCGCTAATCCGGAAAACGCAGCATTTCTGGCTACGCTACTTGCTACGAACGTTGGTGTCAATGGCGGACAGCTTGGGGGCTCCGCCATAGGCCTGACGGGAGGCAATGAGCCCTAATCATATTATCTCTTGTCAACAAATTGGCATTAAGTTCAAAAATGAAGACGGAGATGAAATTGCTTTAACCAATGTATAAGAGAAAATGACAATCTCTAGAGTCAGTCAAGCCTTTCCCTCAAAAGCTACGCCGTTCGAAGAAAAGAAAACTAAGATCACCTTCAGAGGAGTGATAGGAATGTGGGTCAGTGGAAGTTAGACGGAAGAAATTTCGTAGTTGGGTCTACCAATCTAATACCGTTCCGTATTGCAGTTAGGAAGGAGCGGAATACATGACACAGCGAAAATAGTTTAGACGCGGCTATCAGCATATCGGTTAGCATGCCACACAACACGTGTGAGTCATACAAAAACGCGAGGGAAGAGGAGACTGCATGTTTGATTAGATGCACAACATGGATGGGTCGCAGTTAGATGAGGACATGTCACAACTGAGACGAAGCATACGAAGGGATTGGAGCCGTGTGCACGCATATAAATTACATGATAGAACAACACCATAGGAACAATAGGTTGAAAAACAAACGCTGCTAAAGAATATGTGGCAAGATGTTGCTTACGATTATCAGAAAGAACTGTTGAATAGCCAGAACATTTACCATTTTGGGGATAAGCACATAACGGCTAAAAACAAGCCGATTCGGTCGTGTAAGAGCTGAGAGTAGAGTGGTCCGTTTCGATTCACAACCATATGTTTAATGCAGCAGGGTTCAGTGGAATGGAAGCGGTACTGCACATTCATACAGTGGCGTCCATTACGATGAGAACGGGGCCAGGATTGCCATCCAGTATACAGCATAAACATTTTACCCAGGATTCGAGAACTTGAGTGACCTTTACAAAAGTAGATCCAGTAACAAATGTCCTCAGGGACAACTCTTTTTAGGCTGTGCCTAACATCCAAAGTTCGGAAGTCCGCCACATTAGCCTTCACTGATTGGCGTCTATCAGCGTAAACGCGCAGTCAGGAATTCAGCGCGGAAAGTTCGACGCTCTCTGATTACACCAATACAATAACCAGGAAGTGCACGGACTTAAAATCTGAGACATTGTTCTGTAAGACAAGCAGGGCGGTTGACATAGCTGGGTAGCCATGTACTCTGGCTTTATCGACTTTATCGATCACAATGCCCTTGTCATAACGAATACTGCTAAAATCCGAAGTGAAATAGGTGGGCGAGAAGGATGGTGGTACTTAGGACAAAAGCAGATGCAATAACAGTCTATCATAGTTGGCACGTTAACATAAGCTGAACTAATGGGCGCATCCACGCAGACCGTTTGTGCAGAGCCCGTGAATAAGAAGGAACAATACAGCCGGATGCCTGCTTGAGAGCCGTTGGCCGACGTGAGCACCGCAACATTGCAGCTAACACTAGCACCACGTTAAACGCTTAGGCACCAGCATCATCCGTCAATTCCTTTACGTTTCAATGATGCCGCACCACCCACGCAAAACATCATATGGTCACGCGGACTGAGATTGCTCAAGACTAACTACTCTGAGCAAGAGCTAAGCAGGCGTAGCGGTATCTCTGCGACCGAGAGAATGGGGATGACGGGGATCTGCAAGTCCAATCTATTCATTCGGGTGGAGGCCGAGCAGTTCCATAAAGCGACTGACGCGTCTACGTCATCAATCACTTACGTTCGAGTAGTAAGAACCCCTGAACCTTGGCATGCGTCGCGCCTCTATGTATGATTTTTCGCCAGACGCCTCTGTCCATGTTAAGGTTTCCACTTGTCAAAAGCGTCACCTGAAAACAAGCCTACTCGTTGTTCAAAGTCCCCAGCTACCGACTAATTCGCAGATGAGAGAGCATACCCTACTCGTTGTTCAAAGTCCCCAGCTACCCATATGCCGACTAATTCGCGGATGAGAGAGCATATATGCTTCTGCGCGTGTATAACCAGGACGAATAGGTAGGGCCAGTGTCCCGCAACGCAACACTGGTTTCGCGCACATACTTTCTTTTGGTTTTAGTGCAGAGTGGTTAAGATGACCAAGAATAAAATCTATCCGATCAACTGGACATTATACTAACAGCCTCTAGAGCTGTCCATTGAGGTCCACGACAAAATAAACACAATATAACATTCAGGAAATCCATTTGGGTCGATAGGTGTGGCCGACAGCTATGTGCGTTGCATGCGCATTTTTAACCCACAGGTCTGAGCTCTAAACCGTGGATAGTACGTTGGAAATCGCCGTTCACTAACTGGAAAGTGGACCGGGAAAAAAAACCCAACGGTATGGATGTGGAAATGTTACGAAGCAGAGAATAATTTGTGTTAAACATAGTCCGCTTAGTCTGGTCGGATTTATAACAAATGGCGATACCGGGGCACCCCTCACACACCCGTAGATGCAGAGAATATGCAGTTCCTCCGTTGTCACCTCACTGATATAACTGCCCTCAATGTATACTGATCCGCGACACATCCGAAATTCAACGAGTCACCCGAAGCCTCATTTGTGTACCCAAAGTATCGGAGACGTGAGGTTACGAAAGGGCAATAAAGTGAGTCTAAGTAGCATTTCAAACCGCTATTGTATCGTGCTACACTAATACCCTTGACGTTATGAGTTAGCCATCAACAAATCAATGGAAGCATCGGCAAGTAGCTTTTTAAATAAAACAGCAAATATTTCAAACAATACCTCATCAGGTTTTTGAATTACTGCTTCAAAAGGCTGGTTTTCCGTCGCACGACCAAGGTCCAGCAAGTCTTCTTTCGCTTTCGTCTCATTATCATAGTTTTCCTCATCTTCATCGATCACCTCCATAGGGACTTCGATCTTCGTGGAATCCGGAAGAATCAGGGCATTTTCTTCTGCCTGTTCCTCCTCATCCTCCTGATTTGCAAAAACAACAGTGGGCAAAAATTTGGTAAGTGAAGTCATTTGGACGGTCCACGTTAAAACGAGAAAGTGGTGGTTACTCGGTATTGTTCAACCCCGAGATCCTTCACTGCCTCACTGGACCTTACTAGGTGTATCGTCAATGTGAAAGCTGAGGGGTGTCGTAAATAAGAATCGCCAACATGTTCGAAACGAGAACTACATCCCCAATATGAAGTGCAAGAGAACGAAGTCAATTCTGATGACTGGTCGAACTACGGCTTTTCAGCTGGACTTGAAATTTCCTGCAACAATGGNTTCAGCAGGACTTGAAATTTGCTGCAAAAATGGATAAAGTTTTTGCGAAATGCTGGACGAAGCACACCGTGGGTTAAGTTCTGGCCATTGGATCTCCAATCTGATCCTTCTTGTCGCTGACAGCCGGGGTGTTTAATCTATCTGGTTTATTCAGCCAGATTAAAAGGGAGCCAAACACATACGAATTTGGCATGCTGTGGGATCTCCTAGTAGGACATTGACTGTCATAGAACTCCACCGCCCTATAGAGCACATAGTATGAAGGAACGGACGAATACCAAGTGCACCAACTCCCGAGAAAACTTTATATAAGGCCATGTTACCTTCCTACAGAGGTCAGTTGCGAAGAACTAGTGAAGCATCTATCATCATCCATGTTGATGACAACTGGATCGATTGTATCCTAACTTCCGCTGTGAGCATATTCGCAGTTCAGTGACGAAGTTTGTCAAAGTCACAGACAGAATGCATTCTGATGTCGTTTGCGGTAATAAAGACAATCAACGAGTAAAAAAACCGTCCAGCTGTAGCACCCTCCCAGCGCCTAACTACCATGCCACCAGAAGGAAGCACGAGGGCTGGGATACTGCCGGGTTGCCCAAACCTAGACAGGGGAAGTCGAGTTCGAACTACGGACCTTCCGGACAGTAAATTCGCGCTCTAACCACTTAGGCCATCTCGCCCCAAACCAAATAGTGAAGGCGCGTGGCAGTAAAAGTTAACGAAATTAGCTGAATGACAGAATTGGATGCAATCCCGTAAGATTATTTTTGTAGATTGATGCAAATAAGGCAAAAAACCAGATAAGTAAGTCCTTGTTCGCAGAGTAGAAAAGATAGTTAACGGGTTCCAAAATTCAGACCTGGTGGCGCAGAAAGCCTGGTACCGCAACAAATAGACTCTTCAGGTGTTGGATCTATTCCGTACAATCATCTGTGGTTATCTGATGAGTGGTTCAACTACTGTATACCAACACACAAATGCTCGGTGCGGAATGGAATGTGATTGCCAACGCAAACCTAACTGACTCCGACGTAAGACCGAGGTAAAAAATTGGTAAACACAGACAATGGCTTATACAGCTGTCAAACGACAACTTAATTGGTGAGAGCTTGCAAAAGATCCGAGATTTTGTTGCCGTCCCGACCCAACGTCTGGTTCAAAGGTGCATCATTCCGACGCCTCGTATGATGTAGTTTCGAATACAAACAACAATTGTACCCCAGGGGAGACTCCTACATAGGCCACCCCCTAGCGAATTGTCGACCACGATTTGCCGAAAGATACACTAAAGGGGAGGGTAACCTAAGGAAATCCTACACTCACCGTGGTGGTCTATCTTGATGGGATTACAGTGATACTTAGGTGACACAGGGTGCAATCCATCGCCAAGGCACACAAGCGCACTCACATTTTCAAAAAAAAACCAGGAAACTCACCAATTCGACTGAATCCGACTCTTCCACGGTATCAATCACATCAGCCTTAAGCTCACACATCAACAACTTGATACACTCCCTGTCTTTCTCCGACAGATTGGCGACAAATGGATCCTGGAATTGGAATGAAGAATAGTCCATCAATAAGATGATGGGGGAATAAAATCAAACCAGTTCGTTCAGCTGTGGCACCCCTACAGTGCATAGCTGCCAAGCAACCGAAAGAAAGAAAGGGAGAGTGTAACACATCCGAACTGCCTACCAAAAACGAAAACAGAAAAGTCACGAGCGGATGGGAGATGTGGATCTTGCGATCACGGTGTCGGATTCTAGTTGAATAATCAACTAGGCAGAAAACGGCTGGACTCGGTGGATTGAGTTCACCTTAATATTTTCAGGGCACATAGCAAACAAGATTTGGGACCATTACTAAAAACACATGCTCATTTAGAGAGGAATTCCGTCGCAGTGGAGTGACCATTGAAAAAAGGGATTGCATGTAAGTGAAATTTACCGAAAGTAATTCGCTGCATTCTGCTCTTTTGTTCGGGTCCTTTTGCAGACATCGAGTCAGCATATCGGAGAACTGAGTAGACCTAGGATAATAAAGACAAGCAATGAAGGATAGATGATACAGGTGAAAGGAATAAGCTATGGCCAAGAAATCATATCAAATGATGGCTTTTTACAGTGATTACGGTTGTCGAAGAGGAAAAGCCTTTAGATCGATTTCTTCCTAGCTTCAGAAGTCTTCCTCGCTGTTCTGGGAAGGCCAGAACGACTTTTAAGGAATTCGGTCTGAAATCCAGCTTCTCCCACCTTGTTCCGTGAACAACACAAAGAGTCTGGTGTCATAGCTATGGTCATTTGGGATGTTTACTATCTACTGTCGACAACACACAAGGCTCTTTGCCAGGTGAGCATCAGTTCAACTAGGACTGTTGTGTAAAAACCCAAGAAAATCCAAAATGCTATGTCAAAACTGACACGCTCATAATGATGCTTCATTACGGCCCGGTAAGAACTAGGAGCACAACAAAGCACATTAGTACCAATCCCGAATGAGCGAGCTGGGTGGGGACTGTCCTGAATTATGTAATATTAACAGGACAGTCCACCCTACTGCATTAATAAGCCAGAACAAGACGATAATACGTAGCTCAGCGGGCGTTGCGCCAGACAGCACATCTCTGATTAACGAGAAAACAATCCTCGCGAAATGAGTTCGATGCACCTAGGTCTCAGTGTCAGCTAGAGGACAGCACTGACGGCGCAGGTTTCCCGAAAACCAATGATAGAATAAGCATTGGGTTGCAAAGTAGGAACATACCAGAACCGAGGCTTGGCCAAAGTGGGTGGGTCGGATTTGGTGATTTTCAGAAGAACACGGGTGGGGTTAATATCGTTGTAGGGTGGCCTCATCTGGGCTAGTTCTATCAAAGTGATGCCTAAAAAAAAGCGACAGGTTTATCAGAAAAACTGATAATGAGGATGAAAGCAGTATCGAAAACGTGAAAGAATAACCGTGCTATTGAACAAAATAGCCCGAGCTGAAAGGCATGGTGATGGCACAGTGGTCCGATTTTAAAGCACATCCATGGGACCGAGTAAACAGTTCTCACTTTAAGCGGATTCCCTCCGAATTCCTTACGGAGGGACGAAAGTATTGGCGGCCCCGAATAACTTTGTCAACAATGCGCACAAGGCCATTTCTGAATCTAACGATCTCGCCTGACCTGTTTCTGGTGAAGTTTTCACTCATCAAAACGAACAGGGATGATTGGATGTACTAAATTACAACCACAAAGTTCATACAGAATCGGCCCATCTTTACCGTTGTTTTTTCCAGACCTATGACCGTCACCGTATAGTACTTCGTACGAACATACGATGCAAGATGCAGTGAACAATGAACCAAGTGGATACCATTATTTGATAGGTTGCGTTGTTCAGTATCGGTTTCTGGGATAACGGAGACTGGGTACATGGAGAGAAGTCACCGAAAAAAAGTTTGAAGCTCCGTTAATCCCTCATAATAAGAAATCGTGGAAAAACGGCGTGGACGGGCCCCGATTTGCCAAGCACTCCCTATTTGACAGAGCCTTCTACCTTTGACTGGAAGGCTGTTGTGATTCAACTTTTGTTGTTGTGAAAGGCGTCTCTCATGCTGAGAAAACCTTCAGTAATCGGATTGGAAATGCTTTGCCCCTCCATCACAACACACAAGTGTGACAAGAACGATCACCATCATAGTTGCATTTGATTGTGACTCCATTTCGCTTGCTACATATAGTAAAATAGACTGAGTTGTACCCACACAAGCGACAACCATTTTGTGACTGAACGCAACTCATTATGTGTTCAAGCTGTGAAATGATACTGTGGTATTTTTACTGACGCCTTCTTCAGAAGACTGCCTGTCTTGCGCCAGAGGTAAGGACTGTGTCTTAATAGAGTAGAGCAGAACAACTGGAGAAATACGATTCGTATTCGGATATGGATTCGGTCATCATCATCAATGACAGCAACATCAATGTTGGCACTGATGCTTCACT